ACACACACGCACACACACACAATGCAATCAACCTTCATAACTAGGATACATTTACACTGTAAAAGAATCATAATGTACAACACAGCGTGTACTTTAATAAGCTTTGCCTTCCTTTATCAAGCCTATACAGTCCTCAAAAGAATTAGCAGTTAATTAGTGTGACTGGTTTTCTTATCATGTTTTCTGCTTTCACTGTATTGATTTATTTATTTATTAGCGCATCTTACACTGCACAATGTGTGTGTGCAGGAGGGGCCCTGCTTTACGGTGTTACCTTCGACAGATTCTCTGGCCTTAGATAAATGTGCAGCTGTGCAGATTATCGCACAGTCATGCACATTTTTGTGCAACGCTACAAACGATAACAGGGAGCACAACCACCAGGCTTTCGTGTAAGTTAACATTTATGTAAAGAGTCAAATCCGATGTGCCATTGCACAAGTCGAGTTAAAAATCTTAGTTTAAAAAAAAAATCTGTTACTTATTTATTAAGTTAAAGGCCCAGTGTGTAACATTTAGGATGGTCTATTGTCAGAAACAGAATATAATATAGTCAGTGTATAATCACCTGAAAATAAGAACTGTTGTTTTTGTTACCTTAGAATTAGACGTTTCATCTACAGACCCAGCAGGCTGCCTTTCATGGAATCAGCCATGTTGAACCGCCATGTTTGTACAGTAGCCCAGAACGGACAAACAAGACAGCTGGCTCTAGAATTAGCGCCAATTTATGGTTTGTTCATGAGTTTCTTCACAGCCACAGTAGTTTCTCATACACACTGCACAGACAGCCCGTTCTCATTCCCACATCGTCAAATACAGACGTGAGTGTTCAGTTAGTTGCAATTTGCAACATCACTGCTAGATGGTCCATTACATGCTAATTCAAGATTAGTTACTTCCCACATCTGTTTAAGCTTAAATCCAAATAACTTTGTTACTGTACTTAAGTATGTTTTTTAAGTATCTATACTTTACTTGAGTATTTATTTTTATTTTTACTTTTACCCAGTGTCTGAAATGGGTCAGTACTCACCAGTACTGAGTACCGACCAGAGGTGGGAGTAAGTCACACATGTGCAAGTCTCAAGCAAGTCTTAACCTTCAAGTCTCAAGCAAGTCCCAAGTCAAGTTCAGTAGACATTATAATAAGCTGGATGGGGGGCAACCGTCTCTTAAAGTGCTGGTAGCTCACTGTTCATGGCATAGTATTCCATTAAGTACATAAGTAACATGTTCAATTAAAATAGTTTTTTAATTCAAAATCAATTAAGGGTAACATTTGAGAAAATGTTGATGCCGATGGCTTTCTACTAAAGCTGTCACTACTAAGCTTCTCATTAAATAGTACAGGTCCCCGTTATGTTGGACATGTACAGTATGTGGTAAAGTAAATATACCACCTTAGACCTTGATTATGCTAATATGGAGCCACGCCATGCTGGAATAAGTGTAACTGTTCTGTCAGACATAGGAACACTAGAGTTTGCAATGAGCTTTCACAAGTGCAACTTCAATGTCTTAGTTTGTCATAGCACAATTCCATAACAGAGCTGGATCTGCAGGGAACACTGTTTTCAACATAGAGCAGGCTCTTAGGCCGGAACTCCTTGTTAACCACTTTACAGAGACCCAACAGTTTACCAACCCGGCATCATATGAACCGCCGTTTAGGAACAGGGTAGGCTATGTTGCATTCAGCTGTACATTGTACGTAGGGATGCAACTAACGGATTATTTTGGGGTTGTCGACTCAATCTATTGATTTATTTTTTTTTGATTATGTTTTATAGGGTCCAAATGCTTATTATAGTCACAATTTGGCATTTATTTTGCCACTACTACTAAAATTAAAAGATGCAGTCATTTTTCAGAAGCTGAAGCTGTGGCATCATTGTTCTATCACGTTTTTTTCATTGATCTACAATATCTTACCAAATGTAATTATTAACTCCAAATAATAGTCATCCCAAATCATTAGATTACCACTGACATGAAGTGGGCAGCTTAAACTATTCAGGGTAACATTCCAATTCAGGACAGTTACTGGATGTGTACTGGGATGTAATACATATCCTACACATGAATTATTATTGATATCGTCGCTGTTGGCAGAAACCTCTTATTTGGCTAATGTAACTTTTGATTCTACTGGTCACCCTTCAAGTGTTAAAAGAGTAGCGTAAGAGCTATGGACCTCAGTATTTTTTCCGAGGGGTATACAATAAAAGTCATGATATAACCTAATGGCCTAATGGTCTTCCTCAGTGTGCTCAGTGGTCATAGAGACATGGAGATGTAAAATGTATCAACTGTAGTGTCCAAAATCCAAAATGAATAAAATATAATACAATAAATATAATATAATAAATAAAAATACAGCATATAAGTATTCCTGTAAATAATTTATTATAACTGAAGTCATTATAATAAAATGTTATTTTCTTTCTTCATCATATTTTCAATTCTATTGTACTTTATTTTATCATAGCATTTTTCTAAATGCCATCTTTGATAGCCTATGCAGTATTTATTTCATAATTACATTTTTGCCATTTACAGAAAAAAAATGTTAAGACACTTTCGGTACGCTACTGAGATGATTATTTGTCAAACTGTACATAATTTTTCTTGCTATGACTTTTCTCATTGATAACTTATTACTAACTGTAAACTATCATCGATTTAATCGTTTTTGAATTATTGTTTAAAACTCAAATCTGTACACATCAGTTGAATTCATATCTCAGTCATGTATACAGTACAAACTGGATTCATATTTCAAAAAGCTCAGTAATGCATACAGCTATGCACTTTTATTACTATTATTTTATTTACCAGTTGAGATAAAATCTCTTTTTCAGTGGTGACCTGACCAAGATGTTTTACATCGAGTGCACGGCATACGATATACTCTGTAATGATTAACTCAACATTTTCAAGCAACACTAACTCAATTGTGTAAGTTCAAAAGATTCTTCATGAAGCAGCAGTAATTTTAACGGGCACTAACTTAACTGTAAATTAAAGAAACATTCCTGATTGTTTTCACAGTACAAATAAAAACATATATACAAGGGTAATCTGCAATATGCAGTGATGAGTCCTGC